TTTTGCATTCAATCGAGTCAATTAGCATGCATCGCATTAGTAACAAATTAAAATCAAGTCTAATATTTAATTGCATTATTTAGACATCAAATACCCAACATAAGTCAAAGGGGTAAATTAAGGATCTGCTCTAGATGTAGACCCCATTCCTCTAAAATTTTCTAATTAATGTCCCTACCACTCTACAAAAAGACCGGACTCATATTTTAAAATCGTTCAGGTGGTTTAGCTGGCTCCCCAATCCAGGCCGGGGTAAGACCAGATTCGCATTGCACTAGCTAGGTTTGGAGCACTAATTTTTAGTGCACAATTTAGACTTAGGTTCTGAGGCTGGCTCGAGCCACAAGACCTCAACTTTCGGGAATTGAATCCCAAATTTCTAATAAAATCGACCATTTAAACTAAAAAAAATTTTCTTTCAATCAAATTCAAGCCCAACACTTAGGATAGGTTGGAGTATTTTCTGAATTGTTTCAGAATCTCAAAATACTCCCTACTCTTCTTCCTTTGACTCTGAAAATAACTGTTCAACGTTGAACCAATCCCACTTGAAATTCTAAACATTAACTTCCTTTGATATCTAACTTTGAAATCATAAATAAAATTTAAACCGTTATTTTAATCGAGAGTTTTCGTAGGAAACTCCGATTTCCTTACGATGTAATTAACTACGAGGGCTTGCGCTCGTAGGAGATTTAGTAACCCAGATCTAATTTTCAAAATCGAAATCTTTCAAAATCTTTAATTAATTATTTTTGGGAAATTTAAAATACAACGATCATTATCGTCATTTTCAAATGATCGATAATGATTGATATCTTTTTTCTTTGGAGAGGTATATCAATTATTATCGTGAGTTTGATTATAAAATTAATGATCTTTCATCCAAATTAGCATAGCCAAACAGTTTTGAATTTGACTACGATAATTTGGATAACTTTAAAATTTTGAAATTTGAACCAATTAGTGAATGATATTCTCCCCGTTTGGGATGATATATCGTTCCTAATGATGTGTTAGATTTCAAAACTAAAATTTAAAATTTAACCTTCCCAAAGATAATTAAATATTTTTTTTCAAAATTATATATATTTAAATCATATTTTTCAATCAAAACAACATCAACTAATTAAAAAACAAATTCCAAATCGGATACCGAGTATTAAAGACAATTGATACCGAGTATAAAAGAGGTAATAAGACAATCGGTACCGAGTATTAAAATGATTTGGATAATATAAGTGAGCTTATACCGAGTAATTGTTCTGAATACCGAGCAGTACCGATCAACATACCTGAGCTTATACGGAGTAATGGTTCTAAATATCGAGTAGTTCCGAGCAATAGAACTGAGCTTATATCGATTAATATCAAATATTTTGAAATGATTTCACTCGGTACTGAATTAATAATATATTTTATAACCAATATAAACATTTTTTGAATATTAATCTAAGCTTATACCGAGTATTAACTGTCAATACCGAGCAGTATCGAGTAATATTAACTGCCAAAACCGAGCAGTACCGAGATGTACCGAGTGGAACCGATAGGCAATGTACAATACCAATCTGTACCGAGTAGTACCAACTTGTACCGACCACGAAGCTCAGATTATTTTTTCACGAAAGATTGAAAGTTCATCAGCTACCATTACACTTTCTACGTAAACCCTAACTCTAAATATATAAAAAGAGAAAATTTATTTGTTTTAGAAAAAAACAAACTCACATGAGGCATTGTTTCTCTGAAGTTATTCAAACGCAAAGTATCTTCTTAATGCCACGGAAAAATGCTTGGAACTTGGAAGAAGATGAACAGTTGCCAGAAACAAAGCTTCGTCTATGAAAATGGTGACTGAAGTGAAAGTCGCTGCTCTTTATTTGAAAAATAACCATAATTTTCGGGTTCGTTGGTCAGGCCGTCAACATTCAAATTTTGCACATGCTATAAACCCAATATTTGCCGGGCCGGGTCCACGGAAATGGCCAAACTACGTGGCGCCTGTTTACTGCATGCCGAATGTAGAGCTACATCAGGTGACCGGACCGAATAAAAATTCCACCATCATCACTGCCACTATTACACCGTCGATGCTTCTCCTAAATTGTCTCCCCTCTTATTGTTGGAAATCCTTTTTTTTTTGTATAAGAGAAGAGAGAAAACAATCAACTACAATAATGATTCCAATGAAAATTCTCTAAATGATTTGAGTAGGAGAGGTCTTTTGAATTTATAAAATTTGACCTTAGAGTACTTTTTTATGTTGAACTGGGAGTAATATACTATTTATTTAGTATTATTTATAGCCTTACATGATTTTTAATGACCTTTTTTTATTTTAATATCTTACTTTGATGTTAATATGTTACTTATTATTTCCTTAATTTAATGATTTAATATTGAAACTTATGCCTCAAGTTTTATGTCTCACCTACGAAAAAAAAAAAAAGTCTCAATACCTGATTGTGCAATTTCAAATTTTGAACATGCTTCCCATGTTCGCTGTGATCATGCATGCAACTACTCACATGCTACCCACATATTTACATATGTTTACCCACATTTTTACACATTCATGTTCGTGGCTGTTCAGAATTGTCGTTATTGTTCCTAGCAATTGTGCTCTTACATCTCCGTTTACATTCTCATTCAAGAACTTCCATCTTCTATTTTGGTGGCAACCTGATCAAGACATTAACCTTTTGTTGTCCACAACAAACTCAATGACATGTCGGCATGCTTAGTCAATGATAAACATTGCTATATGTTTTAAGGATTGAAAACTTTGTTTTTAGGGAACCTACAAAATTTAAGAACTCAATTGTTCACTTCATGTGCAAACATTCCTTTATGTTTAGTTGGATTTATATTCTTTGTTCAATTGCAAATTTATTAAGTATTTCTTGGTCACCTAGGAAGCTCCACTAAAAGTAAGGTTGAGCGTCCACTTGCTGAACTATCATCTATTTAACATGTCTAAGGGAGAGTTACATCCAAATATTAAGCATTTATTTGCTTAGAAGATGAGAACTTTAACACATTAATTTTTTGCATTCTTTGAGAAACTTGTTGAACCAAGCCTTGGTTTTATAATCAAACATTAGTTAACTACTTGTCTTTAATATCAAATAAAGTATAATTGCATTTGTATCATTATCTTATGATTTCATTTTACCTTCGTTCATCACATTTTTTTGTGGAATTGTTTGTATAGAATATTTTTATTTGATTTACTAGGATACTTGCTAAATATAAGGGTGACCTGACTATCTAGTATTGTTTGTTGAATAATTGAGACCAAGGAAAGAAAACCAAAAAAATCATAAGATGTTTTCTAATTTGCGCGTAGAGAATTTTATTCCAAATAAGAGAAAAATACTATGGAGTCACACCACACCAAGAAATCCACTATGAAAATTGGCATAAATAAGTACAGATCTCTTTTCTCTCTCGCTCTCTCATTGCTTCTCATCTCACATACATCATTCTCACTATCTCTACACACAGGAAATACAAGAGAAAGGAAGTTATATCCGCCAAGGGATGCAACCCTTGAGAAAAACGAGAAAGAAAACTGTCTAGTTCGTCTCGCAGCAATGCGGTGCTAGTTTGGGCCGCTGCGGCGCTCAAGCCTCTGTATGATGATGATGCAGCGCTCAAACTTGTAGCATTTCGTCCCCAAATCCAGGAAAATTTATTCTGAGCGGAGTCCAAAACCCAATGAAAATGCGCCACGTCCGGTACCGAGCTTAGTACCGAGGAGTACTCGGTACCGCTCGGTACTTAAGCGTAAACCGGACGGTTCTCCCGTATGGTGTCCGTACAGAATAATCTCTCCAAATTCAAAGTGTTGTGGTGCTCTGCTCTTTGTCAATCAGTTCTAGGGCACTCAAGAACATAGTGTCGGGGCACTGGGGTACACAGTGTCGGGGCGTTGCACTAAAAAAAATCCATGAGTAAATCCCCGCACCCTGACCAGCAAGAATGACAAACTTGAGATCCGAGGAAACAGAATAACCCGATTGATCAACACAATCAGTTTCTACACATAATAATAATTACTTTTTAAGCTAAATTAAAAATAGAGTGAGACTACTTTTTGGGTGGATATTTTTCAAATATAAGGAGTTATTGAAAACTAAAACTTTTGAATGATTGAATTCCTATTATTAACATGTAATTCCTTTTATATTGATTAGTAGGTTGGCACAATCATAGTTAAACTATGATCGAACTATTAATAAGAGCTAAGATTATTACAACTTTCAAGGATGGTCTAAAGCAGCAGTTAAGTTGCCTTTAATACATACTGGAAGTCCAAGGTTTCAGTCATGAAAATAACCTCTCTATCAATGAGGGGGTAAGACTACTATATACATCAATCCCTTCTCAAACTCTTAATTACTGGGAGCTTTCTGCACACTGGTTACAACCTTTTTAGTAACTTAGTACAATCTTCTTTGCTCATATGCTCTTTGCTCTTTCCACATTGTATTGGATTGCATCAAAGCATCATGCCAAATAAATAAATCTTTCATTCAACCCGAACCAGCATAAATCCGTTAGAACCTTATACGTTACAATAAACCTACTTAAAATAACCCAACTCCCGACCAAACCGCCGCAAGGATAAGAACTAGGAACTTTGGGTAGACCAACAAGCATTTCTGTAACATAAAATAAACAAGATCCAACGCACCTGCTCATCACTAGGCGAGAACGCGAACAATCGCTTTGCGACCGCAGAGCCATAGCCCCTGGAAACGGAAGCAAACTGATCGATGACAAGATCTAGATTCGGAGAAGCTGGGCAGTGACAGAGGCCGATGACAGCTAGGATCTTGCGATGGGCCTGGAAATCCTCCCAGGGGCTAGGAGGAGCACCACCAACCATGTACTTGAAGCGAAGGCTTCCGCTCTCCCATGGTTGGTGTGTGAAGGGGCTCTTCTGGTGCTCCGAGTAGAAAGAACTAATGGATGAGAGATCGATCCGCGTGTGACGCGACAGCATCGAGACGTATTCACGAACTCGCTGGTGCGGGATCGGGCCACCGATGGGAAGAACGGCGATGCGGATCATGGATCCTGTTTCCATGCTCATATCAGGCTCCATCGCGGCGTCGACAGAGTAGGATGAGGAACACAAGTTCGTCGAGAGCTAGATCTAGCCTTCCATATCGATCGTCTGGCTGTAGGAGTGTACGAGGAGACGGCGGGAACGGAGAAAACCCAGCGATAGAGCGTTGGTCCACATTGACGAGAAGATGGTCGATATGACTATGAAGGGCCGGTTAGATCGGGTCCGATTGCCGCTTTTTTTTTTTTTTTTTTTTTTTTTTTTTTTTTTTTTTTTTTTTAGGAAATGCTCGAGTTCCGTTTCAGCTAGGGCTAAAAAGGTTTTAGATATAAATACATAATTTTTATATGACATGCTTATAATCCAATCAGGCCGCTTGACGAGATGAATCCAATGAGTCCAAAATCTCTCAATTTCTACTAAGGCATTAAAATGCTTAATGAATGATCCATGATCAAGGGGATTGCTATAAACCGTCTGATGGAACACCCTCAACATACTATTGATCTTTTTCATATTTACTCGACATGTCACTCCAAAAAAATTATAAATAGGCACATCATTCTTCACATGAGGGGGAGAAGAGAAGGGAAAGCTAGGGATATCACTTGCATTCTCCAATTAGTATCGCGGCCACCGGATATCTTCCTGTTCACCAATTATATATAGTCTTCAGCCCGTTCGTTGAACATCACCAGATCTCTTTCGGACCACCAACTATTGCCCGACTTCTGCCCATTTGTTGAACATCGTCGAATCTTTTCACGACCACCAACTATCGACGGACTTCTACCCGTTTATTGAACATCGATGGATCTCTTCTCGACTATCAATTGTGGTCAGACTTCTACATATTCATTGAATATCGTCAGATGTCTTCCAAATCTCCAAACGTTGCCAAATTTCCGCCAATCTGATGTTTGGAAAATCTTAAATATATTGTATCCTACCTATATTTGAGTTAGAGCACTGAGTTGATCTCTGTAATTCATTTTATTGCGCAATTATTTATATGTCATAAAGAGTGAGATTATGAACATTTTGAGTATATTCTGAAAAAAAAAATTCTAATGGTTTTGAAAAAATACCTATTTTTTCTACTTAAAAATTTATTTTAACATCTAAAAATAGTGCTTCAATTTAATTAAAATTTTGTAATGATTTTTAACACAAACCCTAATAACTTGGTTATATTTTGAAATTATGAATTTTTGCTCAATTGTATTTCTATTATCTACTGCCATGACATTCTGATAATTTTTTAATTAGTCCAATTATGCTTTAATTAATAAAATGCAATGAAAAATATAAAAGAAATATGATGTGACGCTGGTGTCAATGGACGACTGAGGTGGGATATTGTGTCAGCGAAGTATTGTGATGTCGACGCCAGTGGACAATCGAGGTAGGATTATGTTACTTAAGTTTTCTTATGCTGGCATCAGTGGGCGATCGAGGCGGGATTATGTTATGCCAGCACCAGTAGGCGACCGAGGTGGGATTCCATTATTCCAGTGCCAGTATGCAATCGAGGTGGCCTAGGGAAGGCTAAGGAACGAGCTAATTAGTTTAGATAACAAACTCTGATACGTATTGTATGTATGTTTTGGTTAGTTTTAATTTTTTGTAGGCTTGACTTTATTTTTGCTGTGCTATCTTGTTCTAAGCGTTGTTATAGATAGTTTTCAAATTTTATATGTTTTGGATGATATATAGAAAAATCATGTTAACAATCAGCAATTTTCTAATTTATATTGCATTCAATAGTGGCTCTGTGTAGTATATAAATTATAAATTCTATTTCAGTGCTTCTCCGATCAGATCTTAGGGCCAGCCCTGCCACAATCAGACACAATATGACATTTGTGATAACATGTCTTATCGAGTAGGGTTGTGACAATATCGTTGTTGGACCTCCATTTAACAGCCTTTGTCGTGCCTTCCCTTTACCACTTTCGCCACCTACTACAATCCTTTAAACCATCATCTCCTACTATGGTTCCAACTATCGTCGCCTGTTGACTACGCTTCCCTTGACCTTCATCACTTATCGATTACTGTCCCTTTGACCTTCCATGCCCGCAGAATTTGGTCCCTCTGACCTTAATCGCCTTATTACAATCCCTATGACCTCCATCATCTATCAACTATGATCCCTCTGACCACCATCGCCCGTCGACTATTGTCCCTTCGATCTGTTGCCTGACTATAGTCCTTCCGATCATTATCATCTGAATAATATCTTTCGGACCACCGTCACTCCACTACAGTTCTTATAACAATTATCGTCCGACTATAATCCCTTCAACCTTTGTAGCCCCAACCATTTAAAATGCTTTATATAATGTATATTAGCTATATTGAGCCAACGCCTACCCTTGAGGAAAAACATCATTTGTAACCACCTACAAACACTTGTGGATTCATTCAAACTGGGCAAAGCAGCGTGGTTTTCCCCATTTTCAGGGGTTCTCATGTAAAAGTTCTAGTTTCTTATGAATGATGCACCCCTTTCTCTTATATGTTTGTGTGTTGGATATTCGTACAAAGTTAGGACGCTAAATTCTCTCTCTACCGTTGTGAATTTTTTAGGACAACAATAATTGTAGAAGTACAATCACCCAATATCATCATACTAGATTCATCTTTCAAGGATGGAATATAGTAACTATACAATTATGATATTTTGGTAGATTTACATATAATTCATAAAATTTTGATGTATTTACATATCTAATATTTAGTTTTTTTATATATTTATTTATATACAAATCTAAATCACATCATAACATATGCATAAAATATATTTTTTATCTTCAATAAATTAATATTAACTATATTCTTAATATAATTTAAAATTTTAAGTGTCAAATAAATAAATATTCTATATAAAAATTATTTTTTAAATATTTAAATATGTAAAAAATTTATGATATATATTGCAAATCCCGATTTTTGATAAATATAAAGAATCCAACCTCGAAATTATAAATAACTATCTTGAAGTATAGGATGAGTATAAGGAAAAATTATTATGTGAGTCCAAGACACATGGATTTTTCTCTCTCTCTTATACACAAAATATGTACAAAAGAGAGAAAATTTAGGTGCATTCACTTGATGAAAATCCGAACGAAAAACTACGTTCCAACTCCTCAATAATCTCTCAAGCATAAGAGGTAGGAAAAGCATTTTAAGAGTGTTGTTCACCACATAAACAAGAACAATCAACACATTTGTGCGAGCCAGGCAAGAGCCTGTATATACAATTAAAAGTTCTGAAGATGAGTCCCATTAAAATAATTATAATAATTGATATATCATCAAAAAATGATCTTGATTGGGCACGAATCTCAAGGCAACATCAAGCTGGAATCCTCCAAAATTAACATCAGGACCATCCGGACTTGGATTTCAGCAAACTTACAATCAAACTGAACATCTCAAAAATACGAACCCAACGACACCAAATTCAACTCAATCTGAGCCCAAATGGGTCCAAATCAAGGACCCGAAGCATTGTTTGTAGGTTCAAATCACAATTTAGATTACCAAATGGTTCCCAAACATGATATGCTTATAATCAAATCGAGCAACTAGATAATACGAATCCAACGGGCCCAAGATCATTGAATTCTGATAGCACTAAAACATTCAAATGCCTAGTAAACAGTTCATGATCAATGAATTCAACATCGATCATCCATCCAAACCATTCCCAATTTACTCTTGATCTTCCTCATATTTATGGGTCATGCCACTCTATAAGATCTATAAATATAGCCCCCCTTTCTCATGAAAAGGGGCCCCAAGCAAGAGAGCAAGAGAGAGATCGGAGATCGCTCGTTCCCTAGCTCTTCCTCGACCACCGCCCGGAGTTTCGCCGGACCACCACCTGACTCCCGGAGTTTCTTCAGACCACTACCTGACGCCTGGAGTTCTAGCGGACCACAACATGATGCCAGAGTTCCGCCGGATCATAACCTGACACCCGAAGTTCCACCAGACCACCAAATGCCCAAACTTTTGCTAGACCACCACCCTATGACAACGGTCTTTCTGACCCCCCGTCTCCTACCAACTACAGTCATTCCAACTTTCGTTGCCTATTACAGTCCTTCCGACCTCCATCGCCATACAACGGTCTTTTTGACGACTGTCTCCCGCTGACTATGGTCCTTTTGACATTCGTCTCCTACTGCGGTAGAAGTTTCACCAGACCAGCACCAGATGCCCGGAGTTCCTCTAAACCACAGAATAATGCCAAAACTTATGCTAGACCACCACCCTATGACAACGATCTTTCTGACCCCTGTCTCTTACCAACTACGGTCATTCCAACTTTCGTTGCTTACTACAGTCCTTCCGACCTCCATCGTCATACAATGGTCTTTTTTACGACTGTCTCCCACCGACTACGATCCTTTTGACCTTTGTCTCCTACTGCGGTCCTTTCGATCTCTATTATTAGATAATGATCTTTCTGACCCGTCTCACGCCGACTACATCATTTCGACCTCCGTCGCCTACTACGGTCCTTCTGAACTCCATCACTAGACAACAGTCTTTTTGACCACTGTCTCCCGAAAGACGACGGTCCTTTCGGCCTCCCTAGCTATACTACGGTTTTTCTAACCACTATCTCCCACCGACTACTGTCCTTCCGACCTCCCTCGCGAAACAATGATTCTTCCTACCACAGTCACAAGACTACAGTCTTTCCAACCTTCGTCGCCTGTCGACTATGGTTCTGTCGACTTAACAAATATTTGAACACTAATTCTTCTTATTCCCACCATGTAATATGATGTACATTTGATACATCAACCCAAGGCCCCCCCCCCCCCCCTCGAAGGAAGGGTCTCATTTGTAATCGACTGCAAATAATAGTGAATTCATTCAAACCGGGCCATACCCCATGGCTTTCCCCCATTTTAGGGGGCTTCCACATAAAAATTATGATGTCTTTTATGAACGGTACACAATCTATTTCATCTAATTGCATGATGAATCTTCTTACAACGCTAAGACGTTAAACTTTATACTTCTCTACAGCCGCGAATATTCTAGGACTCAACAATAATATTTATTATTTACAAAACCTTTTTAGATATATTGTAATTAAAATGAGTTTTATTTTTACTCATCCTAATAATAAATTTTATTCCTTTATTATCATCAAAAGCAAAACTAATACTGTAAAATTAATATAATATTTAATTTTATTATTAAAGACCTATTAATGATTTTTATTCACTTGAAAATAAATTTTGTTTGGAATAACTTCTTTGATTTTCAAATTACAATCACAATTTTTATTTAACGTAGGCTTTGTTTGTAATGACTTTCTTACTACTTTTTAAAACTTCTTAGTACAAAAATATTTAATTCATGAAATTTTTTGTACTAAGAAGGCACTTTAAAAAATAAAAAGTGCTTCTTAGTGTTCTTGTACAAAAATGTGAATCTTTGTACTTAAAAAACTGCTTTAACAAGTACATGCTTCATTTAAGTCGGCTTTCTGACTGCTTCTTTAAGCAGATTTCTAGTACAAATTTTTGTACTAAAAAGTTGATTTAAGAATCAGTAAGAAAACTGTCCCAAATGAAATCTTAAATTTTAATTATTTTTTAAAAAAATTCGTGCTAAGAAACTATATTTTGTTGTAGCTTTTAAAAAAATTATTTCCCATATAAGTTTTAACCAATATTATAAAAATTTACAACCGTTCCAAACAAATCCTAAAACTCATCTCTCACTTTGTAAGACGAAATTTAAGAATGAGATTTTAATTTCACCGAAACAATCTTTTGAACTGAATTCTTCAAATAAGATCCGATTATTTGAAGGCTTTGTAAGCCTTAAAATTTGGTGTTTTTGGCATAGAAGCAAAAGATGATCTGTTTCTTATTTTATAGGCAGCTATTTTTCAGTGCTTAAAGAATCCGCATATAGCATTGATAATTACTCGTAAATCGAATGATTCAGAAAGCTAGTTGTACGTTTATATAAGACTTCAGATCCACTTTTGGATTGTTCTTTCCTCTGCCTATGCCTCCCTAGCTCCTGATCTTCTTTGAGACTTTTGGATTGTTCTTTCTACATTTTGATGCTTGAAAATTAATAAATGTTAAGAAAAGGAGTAGATAAGAGAAAAGTCTAATAAGATCATAAAATATCATATTCATCACATAGGTTCATAAACATTGTCTGCTCAACAGTCCTAAAAATGACAACTATTGGTGTAAAAGAACATTTGAAGATTCAAATTAGAGGTGTAACAGAGATTGAGCAAGCTCAAACTTTGCCTTGCCCAACAGGCAAAAAATCATTATTTAAGTTCGGGTTAGAAGTTAGAACACAAGTTATTCGGAAATATCAAACCGAATACATAATGTATGCGCCGGCGATTGATCTAATCATATTGGTGTTCGAATCATTAACGAGTTCGTAAAAGTGAAACATATATTAGATGCAGTAATTGTTTGACATTTATAAGAAATTGACAAGCTTACCAATTATAAAAGTAACGTTTCATAAGAGCTTATTTTAGGATTTGCATAGTTAGTGATCAAGCAATAGCATGTGATTACAAATAGAGTAGGAGAATAATAAAATAATAACAAAGACATTAAATGTCTATTTGTAACTAACAGAATTTTCACAATTAACAACTAGAACAATCACAATGAAATTCCCTCACTCACACTATTTGAGAATTTCAGCAGGAGAAAACTTGACACAATCTTAATGATACAACTAAGAAGAAGCAAACACTTAAAGTTTTATTCAAGAAAGAGTTCCTTGGGAAAGAGGTGACAGGTGGACGGTGGGAGAGTTGTCATTGAACGGGAGGGGGAAAAGGTGGAGGGAATACCAAGAGGCAAGGGGGAGGCTGGTCAGCCAAGGGAAAGAAGCAAAGAGTTTGACCGGCTGTTCGGAAGAGGGAGGGAGGCTTGGTTGGCTGTGTCGAGGGGAAGGAAAGGGTTCGGTTGGCTGTTTGAAGGGTGGGAAGGCTTGGTGGCTGCTTAGGAAGGGTTGTAATATTCGGTTGGCTGTTTGGAAGGGTTGGAGTGCTTGGTGGGCTATTTGGAAGGAGGATGGGGTGAGATAGGAGATAGAATAAAGCCAAGAACATTGCCATAACGACGGTTGTTGCGTGTTACTTTGTCCTACGCCTAAGGACTTCTCTCTTCTCTCAACAACGCTCAAACACACACATAACTCAGAAAAACTGAAGTTTCATTCATAATAATCATCATCTCCATATAATAGCTTAGGGCTTCAATATATAGGCCTCAAAACATGAAGACTCAAAATACTAAAATGCCCCTTAGGCTACAATACACAAATAACCCAACATAAGGGTAAAATGGAAAAGACTCTCAGCATAACATGAAATGAGAAAATGAAATACTTGAAATAAATCATAAATAAAAGCTCCTAATCATAGCCATCGATCTACGACTCCTCCTGTGATAGACGCGCTAAAATTTCCTGTTGATGTTCTCATCAGTTAATTTTAAAGCCGAACACAAATTTTTCTCAAATATTAAGTTAATTAACAAGCGTTCAAGAACATACCATTGAGTAGAGGAGTAAGGCTTTAGTTACTAGGCAGCATGCTTAAAACAGAATGCTCTGGCTTATGATCACATTCAAAATCAAGGTGAACAAAGGCGCGCTCAACTTCTGGAAGTTGCTCAATCTTGTCCTGCAGTGACTCTCCAATAGAATGAGCTTCTTTGAGAGGCAAATCTTCTGGCAGCTCAATATCAACCTAGCATTGCATAAAATTTCAGACAAGTTAAAATAGGAAGAATGGATGATCATTAACAACAATTTCGTGGATGAGAAGAGTGTGCTATTTGAAAGTTTTATATATTTATATATTAATGTGCATATAAAATTTATATTATAATTAATGGGAACTCACAAGACAGTAATTAAGGATTCGTTTGGGATGATTTTCTTACTGCTTCTTAAAGTAGCTTTCTAATAAAATAAAAAAATATTAAAAAATTACTTTAAGAAGCAGTAAGAAAGCTGTCCCAAACAAAATCTAAGTAAGCATACCTCCACAAAGTAAAGAACTCCGAATGTATAAGCTCTAACTGTATCAACACGTTTAATTTGAGGATCATGCCTTATTACAAGGTAGGTGAACTTCTGTAACATGTCAGGCGGGGCTGATTGACCGACAAGTGAAACTGTAACATGGAAATGTCATTACCTCTACAGAGAACAAAAATTCACAATAGGTTCTTGAAAAGATTTCAGGGATTTACTACTTCACAAAGAAAAGGGACAAATAACTCAAGTATTAATATGCATGATTCAATTTTCAAGCAATGAAAAGATTGTAGATGTTCTATTTCCAAAATAAAAGATATATATCTTTATAAAAACTGGGTCAGCAAAAATAATGTAATCCGGAAAATGAAAAAATAAATCTACACAAGGGATCTTCTATTAGTTTTCATCTTTGAAGCAGAAAAATTGCTTTTAGATTCTAAAAAAGAAGTTGGAAAGCTCCTCCAAATTTGTAAATTAGCTTCTCTTAAAATTGGGCATGCATGACAAAAGAGCTTTTAAAAAAGGAACTACAGCTTATGATTCATTCATAAATTGTAGAAAAATATGCACATACCACTGGAAACTTGACAGCGCAACACTCAGCTAAAAAAAATAAGAAAACAAATGAAAACAGTCATTGCGGATATGAAGCTTCGAATGACAGTCTGAGGCCTGATATACGGTTGAAAATTGATGCAAGTGCTATTGCGATGTCAGAAAGATAGCAAAGAAAGCACTGGCAATCCGTGATGTAAAGGTACTAGGAAGAGGCTCAAACCACAAATCCCCCCGCCCCCCCACAAAAAAAAAAAAAATCACTAGAAGTAATTATTTAGGGATCCAGTTCAAGCAAACCAACTTATAGAACTACAAAGGATAAAGGATTAGTGGAAATAGATTTATCTAACAGAACATGGATAGCTTAGCAATACTAAAGGAGTTGTACTGGTGATAATAAAGGGGAAAATTTACTGAAATTTAAAATACTATATTGGAGAGATCCACCTCATCTGCTACATTATGAAAAAAAATAACACACCTGTGTTGTCAGTGGAGCAAGACTTGATAGAAAGGGATCGAAACTTGGCATAATTTAGGGGACATCTACTACGAGAACAACAAATTATAAGAAGCACACATATAAACACAATAGGGATGTGCAGTTTAAGATTGGGGACAAAATTTATCTGAAGATCCAACCTTACAAACAAAGGACTCTAGCTCGATGGAGGAATGAGAAGCTATCCCCCCAATACTTTCGGGCACTACAAGGTTGTGGAGTGCATTGGTGCGGTTTCCTATAGCCTACAATTGCCACCAACTTCAGCCATCCATCCAATATTTCATGTGTCGCAGCTGAGACGAGTCATTAGAGATCATACACCCTCGCACGCACTACCAACTATACTGTCAGAATATATGGAGGTAATATTAGAACCACTGGAGGTGCAAGGGGTGCGCCAAGGAGACAATGGGATCAGGGAAGTGTTGATCAAGTGGAAGAATCTACCAGAGTATGAGACGATATGGAAGCCTACATCACTATCCAAAGATAGTTCCCCAATTTCCACCTTGAGGACAATGTGACATTTTGGGAGGGGAGCATTGATGTGGTTGTGGGCCCACCTACTCAGCGGAATTCAAAGAGCCAAATGACTCTTGTTTTGTGGGTCCCAACACCTCATTTTAGACCTATAAGAGGACAAGGATTAAGGGGAGATCAATGGAGGGAATGTGAGGTGCATTTATGGTGGGATTAGGGCTAGTTTTAAGAGGAAAAGTTTGTATGAGAGAGGGATTATGTGAATAAACTTCAGTAGTTTTCTTAGTTGTTTTGGGTTCTTAGTTGCTGCTAGGAATTGTGGGAGAGACAATTCACCTTTTGAACAGTGAATCAACTTGCATCTTGTATTTCTTTGCTCTGATATTAGTAATTATTGAAAACCTCACCATAACAACAAATGCAAGAACAAAAAAGAAATGCAAAGAGGGAAGAAGAAGAATAAAGCTAAATATAGTAAGTTTTCGTATATCATTAAATGAGAAGTACAAGGTGTATAAATAGACTTAGAAGAGTGGCACGACAGTGTGCTGTACGAGCTACTTCATTTAGGTTTTAGGTTGCATATACGCCTTCATGCGGGGTCGAGGGAGCGGAGTGGAGGAGGTTAAAGATTGTTTTGGGTTTTAGGTTGCCGATTTTGGACCGGGTCATTTAATGGGTAGGATAGGTGACATGTGTCTGATTGGGTTATGAGAAGTGTTCAGAGGAGATCGGGAATAGGAGTAGGGGTAGGTGAAGTGTTGGGTGTGAGGACCCGAAAGACCAGGTATTTTTCTATATATCAACTAATTTATTTTAGTGTTTAAATAAATAGATTTATGTTATGGATAATTCTTAGAATAATTTAAATTAAAACATTGATAATTTGAATGGATGTATTCAGAAATGGCTTTTGGATGGGCAGTTATTGTATGGGGACCACTATCCAATAGATTATGCAAACCGTGGGGCATAACTTCCCAGCAATTTCATTTGCTAATGGATTTTCGATGAAAAGGAATCGCAAGCAAGACAACTATTTCAGCCAGTTCTGGTAGAGCAAATCAGCGATAGAAACAGGAAGGAAATCCTGTTCCAAATTCGGCATAGTAATCCCAGCACTGTAGCAAGAGGCGGAAGATTTGCTTGGTAGCCGCTGCAGGTTTATTTTTGGTAGACCAATTCAGCACTCAATAAGGGCAGTATTACTGTAGAAAAGTGCGGCACTTAGAAGGAAAAATTCAGCCTGGTTCGGTAGCCAGAAATTCAGCACAGTGATTGGGAAGATCGGCAGTACAAAATTCTTGAAAAAGGAAGAATAGACATAGTGCATTTCCCTCAGGTATGGAATTTCTGTAGAACAATTTAACAGATTTCTTTAGCAGTAGGAAGTTTGGAAAGTATTTGGAAATTGTATCAAAGTTTAAATGGGGTTGATATAGAAGTTTGTGATAACCTGTAGTTGATTTAAAGGAAAATTGAGGACATAGTAAAAGAAGCTTAAGAGAGGAAAATTAGAAGAAGAAGAAGAAAAGAATAACGGAAAGAAAGGAAGAAAAAGGTGAGAAGTATACTATTAACCTTTATCTTTTATGTCACCTAAATTTAGTAACATTTCTAGCAATGATAACCTAATTGTATGGTAGGATTATTCATAGATTTATGCAGAAATAAAGCTTTGAGTTTGTGTATCAAATGAGACGGCTTCGTGGTGTAGGCTTTGAAGAGATCAACAATCAGAAAAGTAAATTATGTAATTATTTATAGTTGTAATCATTGAATGATTAATTTATCCCTTATGTTTTGAAAGTTTATTATGAAGAGATGCATTATGAGAAACTGTTTAGTCATCATGAAGGTACATTAAGGTACTCACAACTATCCATCCACGAGAACAAGAGAGATTTGATTGATATTTAAATGTGCTTATCTCAGCTTTTTCTTAACTCATAAATTTATGCAAAGAAGTTTTTGTTTTAACTTAGTAGCTACTAAATTCATGGTACACCAAATGTATAAGTATAAGCAAACTTGAAGCTTATAATCATTAAAATCAGATATGTATTATGAAGGTATGAAGTAAGGAATATCAAATTAAAAGTAAAGATTGGCTATATTATGATGAAATGATGTCTACAATATCAGGTGGGCAAAAGGGACCCAAATTACTAAGCCTGTTTTGTAGAAGGGGCAAAAGGGACCCCAAAAGAAAAAGAGACCTGCACAGCAGGTGGGGCAAAAGGGACCCCAATTAGGCAAAAGGGACCTCAATGTAATTCAATGGTGATAATACCAGTGTAACTTGGGCTCCATTGAATATTGTTATGAATTTATAGCCAAGTCTTTTACATATTTAATTTTGATATGCAATATAACTTCGAAGAGATAATTAAAAATGCTAATTAGGATTTATGATGTTGTTATCATTAAAAGGTGAGTTTAATGCTTTATGACTTCAACATTTTAATTTATTATCTTCATGTATTATAACTGTTATTTAAATTACATAATTTACGGGGCCTCATAGCTTACCAGTTATCTTTTACTGATTGTTTTTACAAGAAAAGGGAAAGGAAAAGTGGAAGAAGTTTGATATGCAAGTATTTAAGTTTTATGTAAATGTTTATTTAAATGTTGTAATCTACTCTTAAGGTTAGTAAAGAAGTTTTAATGTTGTTTTACTTTGAATTGTTTTGGCCTTTCTCTGATGGCGCATATCCAATGAAGACACACGATATAGATGGGAGATTTTCCAAAAATTTTGAGATGATTATAATTAGCTGGTTTTTAGTATAGGATGTGATATGGGTTATTACGTTTTAGGGAGCGAGTGGGTAACCGATTTATGAGGTAGGCAGAGGTGAGCAGAGCATCGACCTAGAGAGACTGAGGGAGGTGAGCTTCGATAAGTAGATTGCGAACGGTCTCAAGAATGTGATGGTGCTTTGTTTCGGCGATGCCATTCTAAGAAGGCGTATAGGGACAGACATACTGGTGAATAATTCCCAATTGTCTAAAAAGAGTTTGAAATTTATGGTTAATGAATTCGCCATCGCCGTCAGAGAAATTTTTTTTTTGATATTGGTATTAAATTGCAGAGTAATCATGTTATTGAATTCAATGAATTTGGAGAACACTTCGGACTTATTAAACAAAGGGTATACCCAACAAAATTTAGAACAATCATCGATGAATGAAACTTAGTATTTGTAGCCTTGTGTGGAGGTAGTAGGGGAAGGACCTCATACATCCGAATGAACTAAATTAAATGGGTTAGAGCTAGAATTTTAGAATGAATGAATGGTAACTGATGGCTTTTGGCCAATCTACAAGCGTTACAATGAGTACTATGCAGATTATTACATAAAGACAAAATGTGTTTTTGTAGTTCTTGAATGGTGATGGAAGTTGGATGGCGGAGACGTTTGTGTCAGAGGTTAAGCAGAAGGACGAGCGAATGGGGTATAAGCCTTCAAAACATGGACCCTTGAGTAGCAAGCGACCTATCATCGAATCCTGGATTTGAAAGCCATTAGCATAAAATTTGACGGTGCAATTGTTGGCAGCGGTAAGACGGTGGATGGATATGAGATTAAACGAAAGGTTGGGGACATGAAAAAGATGTTGAAGATGTAGATCACCTGTAGGGGTAGGGAGTATACCTTTCTCGGAGTGTTGAATGGGTAATTGATGCCATTACCTAGCATTATCTGATGGGCTATGGCGTAAGGTTTAATGGATTCAAGTTGCGATGAATTAGACAAAAAAAAAAAAAGTTGCGATGAATTAGATGTGAGATGGCTGGTGGCACTGCTGTCAAGGAACCAATTCGTCGAGGCGGTGGATTCAGATGGGGTAAACAAAGCAATTTTATTTATTTCTTCAGTGTTTGAGTGATTGTGGCGATACCAGTATTTAAAGGCTGAGTGACCAACTTTATAACAAATTTGACATGTTATGGAACCAATTGTCATTTTATCTGTGTGAGCTTGAGATGACCGAGTGGAGAACAGAGATCGATCGTGACTCGGGGGGTGTCGACCATGGCTACGTCCATGATGAGTAGCGAGGGTGATAACAGGATCTAAGATATGAAGATTCTGAAGTTCTTTGGTGGCTTCTTATGCAAGATTTTGCTCACATAACAACGTGTACAGGTCTTCAAGAGTTAGAGATTGTAGGTTTGTGCGAATAGCTATTTTAAAGGCCTGATATTGAGCGGGAAGGCTGTTAATGGTATAGAGAATCACATCTGCGGGATCAAGAGGGGATCCAGTTGTGGTGATTGCATCCACTTTGGAATTGATTGCAAGAAGGTATTGGGACATGGTTTGATTCTTCATGGATAGATGATGAAGTTCATTGCGTAGCTGAATGGAGCGAGAACGAGTGGAAGATTGGAGGCGACGAGCTATGGTGTCCCAGATGTCCGTACAGTGATCGAGGGATAGAACATAAGGAAGAATGCTTGGGCATATGACAGAGTAATGTGCAACGACCAGATTTTGGTCAAGAAGTGTCCAGGTTTGGTAGGAAAGAGTGGTTGAGGACGATGGGGTGTGGGGGGAGGGACAAGTGCAACTACCATCAAGAAAATCTTCGAATCCGTTTGCTATGAACAACTTGAAGAGTTGAGAACGCCAGATCGGATAGTTATCGGCGGTAAGAGTGAGGGAAATGATTCCTTTGAAGTTGCTCATAAGAAATTTGAGCTAATGTGGGATGGGTTGAGAGTTGAATGGTGTACTAGAGCTTTGTCTAGAATCGGATGTAGCAATGATAGGCGAAGATGATGTTGCCATACGGATCCGTCAAGAACGCGGGAAAGAAGGGCCACCGAAGGACCCACTCTGATACCATGAAAACCTCACCGTAACCATGTATGCAAGAACAAGAAAGAAATGCAGAGAGGAAAGAAGAAGAATAAAGCTAAATGCATAAAGTTTTCGTATATCATAAAATGAGAAGTACAAGGTGTATAAATAGACTTAGAAGAGTGACAATACAAAAGTTCAACAAATCGCGAATGGACAAGTGTCATCTTGGTAACGAAAAGGTGAGAGATGACGTGTCTTAACAATTACATCCCCTTAGTATTATTTTTGGATCTATTTGGAGTAAATTTGTTGTTTTTAATATTGTTGTGTGTTGTTTTGATCATCAAATCCTATCACACTACTGAGGGCATCAATAAGTGAGTGGAAATGAAACTCATTAATAACATCATGGTGATGGTGGCATCAGCCTTGAACGTCATTAGCAGAATTCCCCTTGCAGAATGGAAGCATAGAAGAGGAAAAATAGCCATGGGAAAGGAAGATTGAAAGCTAAACAAAAAATGACTGAACAGCCATTCGAGAATCTTTTGGCTTATTTGTAACAAATATCCTATCCTCTAGTGGTGATATTTATCCTTTATGAGCATGTATATGGAGTCCCAAAAATTGAAGTAAATGCTTTGTTTTTAAGGTTATTTGCAGTGCATGGACTCCAAGATATGCAATAGAGCTAAACAAATTAAGCCAAAAAATGTAAGCCTATAAATTAAAGTCGCATGATTCACTTCAAATATTTAAATACAAGGTCATCAGATGATTTGAGAAACCTGCATTTTCCAAGACAGTTCTTGACCAATTTGTAATAGTATAAAGAGCAAGTACAATGGCTCCAGCAGGATCAATCCACCAATAAAATTTATCACCAAGAATAGCAGCAGCCAAACCCACAACGTTAGTAACCACATCAAAATAGTGATCCTGTATAATTATTTATGAAAGTTTTAGAACAACCTATGCAAGATAACCAACTTGCAGAAACACTATGATAAATATTTGGCAAACCTTTGCATAGGCCCGGACAATCTTGTTTCCAGATGTTCTACAATAAAGCCATAAAGCAAGTTTTACCACAGTAGCAGAAAGCATGATTGAATACAGCCAAATCAATTGCACAAACGACATTTTTTCAGAAGGCTTATTTTCTATCAATTTTTCCAGAGCCTGAACAAGAACTTGGAATCCTAAACGAAAGAAAGAACATACTGTTAATTTAGCATTACCAAGTTATGCAAGACTAATGATAATGAATTTCAAAAATAAGACAGAGATTCAGTTTATTGTTAATCATCTCTAAGATTTCATAAGGGTAACAAATGATGACACAAATGTAGAATTAAGAGGGTAAGGCACAGATAACAAATAAATCAAACAGAAAACCATGATAAATGCTAAAATATACAAGGCTTTGAATTGAACCATAAAAGAGGAAAGTATACATGCTCTGTACATGTTAAGATAATATAAACTAATTTTGTTCACAATTAAACTGTAGGGATGAATTATTTTTTAACAAGGTTTTTAACTAAAATGACCGGGCAAACATTTGAGAAAATAGCTCTACAGTCAATATTTGTTTGCACTAAACTGAATACACTATTCTATTCTAGGCATTGTTCCAGAAAGCAATAAAAATTTGGAGGCCACAGAATCGTCAGCTTAGATTCTGACTTCATGCAAATGACCGGGCAAACATGTAATCAATGAAGCATCAATGAAATAATCAATGCCACCAACTTCAATAACTTGATCAATCATCTTCATGCTGAGATCCTAAAAGACATGAAGAAGGATAAAATATTACCGTGTAGTTGTGAGCCTTAGTATGGCAAGTCATAAACATAAAGCTGATGAGAAATTGTGTGATATATAAAATATTTTATATTGTTAAAGTGGAGGATAAATAGGTCCTCTTTCAAAGACCATTGAAAGAGAGTCACTAGCACCAATAACAAGGGAAGTGAGTTCATAATTGATGAACATAATTGTTTGTAACATGTCATATGTAAAGAAGCACCAGGATCCAAAATCCTAGACATTACAGAATGAGTTAGTGCAACCGTGCTAAAGTAGGAAACAACATGAGAGGCGAAAATGGGAATTTGTGAGAGTTGTAGAACGTAGTCATAGTCATCTTTGGAATTTATAACAAAACTTGAGGAGCTGCCAGTGGAGTCGATAAGAAAGGTCCAATGCTAGAGACATGCTGAGCTATGGGTGGTTAGCCAAAAATTTTCCAATAATAGTTAAACTATTGAGTTATCCTCTAACAGTGCTAAGAGGGTGAAAAAGTATTGCAACTGCAACTATTTTTTCCTTGGACACAACATCAATGAGAGCTAAGCAGTATGATCATGATCAAAAGATGGTGGAGCAAGTAACTCAGTGACTTGGATGACCTAGTGCAATGCAATGGAAATGTCAGGGAATTCAAGTTTACCATCAATTGAGCTTAAACATAGTGGAGGGATGAATGAAGTTTGAAGAGGAACTTGGAAACAGGACTTTTTGTTCTTTTTGCACTAAGCTATTTCATCTTCGTGTTATGGGCGTTATTGAATAAGCTTATCCAAGTTTCCTTTTAAGTTTTTGTAGTTATTCTGAATAGATTTTTCATCCTTTTGCAGAGTGAATAGTTTATGGAAGAGAGTATATCCATGAAATACGTTGTTTTGACAATATTTAGAATTGAGGAAGTCCCATATTTCGTTGGAAATATCTTGAAATATGATAGTAGATGCAATAGTGGGTTCACTGTTATTGTGCATACATTTGAGAACAACATAGTCATAAACATTGAGCCCGGTGATAATGTTTGCCCGGTCATTTGAGAACAACATAGTCATAAAATAACTTCCTAAAGTCCAGCATTCATGTACGAAAAATATTAATTTATTTTATCCTTATTGAGCCTTTTTGTCATAATGTTATAACTTTGGCGCTATATGTATTGGGTCATTTCTTATGTCATAGTCTATAAAAGGATTTTATGTTTTTAAGATTGGTGGTAGCATTGGGTCATTTCTTAAGTCATGGCCCCTCAAGAGATTTTTTGGTATTAGGATGGGTGGTAGATAAGATAATGGTGGTAGGTGTGATAATGATGGTAGGTGTAGTAATGACATTAGGTGTGATATAATGGTAGGTAAAGGTTTGGTGATAGGCTCAAATTTGGAGGTAGATTTGTATATTTGGGAATCTCACACTTATTCCTATAAATAGAGTCTCCTAAAATGTTAAGCATTTGGCTATTAAATGAAAAAAAAATATCAATTTTTTTACTCTTCTAGTGTACTTCTCCCCCAAATAAAGGACTACTTGAATGTGTTCCTTAGAGAAAGGCTTCTAAGGAAGGGGTGATGCTAGCGATGGTGGACTATTCATAGAAGTTGATTCAACTTATCCTTGCTTTATCATTGATTATTTTAAATCCATCGCAGATTAGATCATCAATAGCTTATCATTTATTATTGGTTTTATAAGAAATTAGACACCTGATGCGGTTAATATAACAATAGCTTGAATCATCTTACCCTCCTAAAATTCTTATTATTGAATTTGTGCTCAATAGTAGTTGTATGTTTATCATTATTCACAAGTAAGTAATTTAAAAATTAACAATGTAATCATCTAATTGCATTCTTCTCTTAATAGGTTACATTTGTCCTACATTTATAATTAAAAAAATTATAGAAAGAAAAGGAGAGAAAGAGAGCTTCTTTTTTTTTAAATAAGAAAATGAATTTTCTTTAAATAAAAACTCAAAAAAAAAGCCTAAAATATCCTCCTCACTCCCTCATACTCTCATAACCGCCCCCACTCTCATCTCAAGATCAAACTCACTTCTCCCTCTCCCTCACACGACTCCAAGCCGCCCCTCACGCCTCTCTTGCGATTCTCCAAGCCGCCGGCCTCCCTCCTCCCTCCAAGCAAGGTAACTTCTCTTCCTCTTCCTCTTCTTCTTCTCCATTCTTCTTCCTCCATTCTCTTCTTCTTCCTTCCTTCTTCTTCTTCTTCTCCATTTTCTTACTTCCCTCTTCATCCCTCCATATTTCCTCTCATTTTCTTCCATTTTCCTCCTCTCCCCTCTTCTCCTTCCTCTCCTTCATCTTCTTCTTCTTCCTCCAACCTCTCTTTCTCCAAACTTACAAAACCCTAAACCCTATTTTTTTATATCTCCACATCCATCCCATAAACCACCCACCACCCTTCACAAAAATATTTTCCTACACCTTCTACACCCTCTCAATAAAAAAAATCCACCATCCCTCATTTTCTCTCTCTAGAACGAGAAAGAAATTTCTTCATGAATGACTCCCTTTCCATCCCAAGCATCTCTTCTCTCCACCATGCCTCCAAATTCCCTTCCTAGAGAGAGAAAAAAATTACACTCTCTCTCTTTCTCTCTCCAAAATTGAAAAGAGAGTGCTTTTCTCGCTTTAAACCTCTCCACCCACTTCCTACACCTCCTACGCCCTTTCCACAAAAAATCCTTTCTTTCCCTCTCCTTCCCTCTCTTTATCTCTCTAGAAAGAGAGCTCTCTCTCTCTCTTTCTCTCTAGCCTTTATTTTCAAATAAAAAATGGCATATTTGATTAATTTTATTGCACAAATAATAATAAAAAAAATTAAATTGTGCATCGCAGGTTTCTCACCGTTGCCGCCATTCGTTGTCGCCGCTTCGATTACTGCACACCCAAGGTAAAAAGCCCGACACTAGCATTTTATATTTCTATGCATGAAATAAGTACTCGTGATCGCTTTTGTTAGCAAGCGAGGAAACGTAAGTACCCGTGACCGCTCTTTTCAGCGAGTGGGGAAATTCGTATGCATGAAACATAAGTACCCGTAACCGCTCTTATCAGCGAGCAGGGAAATTCGTTATTTGTAAAAGAATTGATTAATTAAGTACCCGTCACTGCTTTTAGGCGGGGAAAATGCTGTGATTTAGACATGTATTTAAAGACCCTGTGACTGCTTTTGTTAGCGAGCGAGGAATGAGACTGCGGTCGCGGTGTTATTTGACACTTACCGTGACTGCCTTTCTTGGTAGGCGGGAAGACACACTTTGATGCAGCCCCCTACGCAGGGTTGACGTTGGAGTGCTGCCGAATTTTTCAACAAGAACCCATGACTTAGAAAATTTCAGAAAGATTTAAATTCACCTAAAATTCTAAGTCAATAAAAAAATAAAACACACGACACCCTAGGCTCCCGACACTAGAAAACAAATATAAAAGAAATACAAATCAATGTGAAATGCAACATACAGTGAGTCTTCAAGAGACTTAGTTGTTCACCGACACGTAAGAATCAAACATCTTCCTCCTAGCGCCTTTGTACACACTTAAGTTCCTCACCAAAGCTCCTTACATAAATGGGATGGAAAGAAATGAATTGAAACTCCACCTTATTTATAACATTGAACTTGAATTATTCGCGGGCCCGACCAGCCTAGGATCCCTTGTTACAAGACATGGAAGATACACATGTGGGCCCCACCAGCCTAGGATCCCCTTGCTATAAGATAGGGAAGGTACACATGCGAGCCCCACCTGCTTGGAATCCTAAGATGCTGTTTTGAGGCTTTAGCCTTAGATTCCTATAAGAGTATTCACCAGCAAATGAAATACGAACGTAAGTACACCCGGATATAGTTGGTAGTTATGTTAAAAGGGGGGGGGGTAAAAGTAAAAGTAAAAAAGTTACTTTTCCAACAAAATACTTTTGTTTTCACTGTAAACACGTAGGAGTCCCCGCACATCCCCGGTAATTTTCTGGTTGAACCCTTTGTAAGAAGTTTAAAAAAATGTGTCTATCACATTGCAAGTCATGGGTGCTCTAAATAGCTTGCATGCCAGCTGTTAAAGTTAGGCAGCTCGTACAGCCCGTAAACATGTCTTCAAAAAGAAACAAAATAGCACACTCCTATGTGTCACGGGTTGTACGACTCCTAATTAAAGTATGCACATCACGCCAAATCATTGAAAAAGTATGTCGCCTACGAGCAGAAGAATTTAATAGGTGACATGTGACGAACTCAAACATACAAGATACAACAAGCAATAAATATAAATGTCTGCGGGGTTGTAGGAGACCTGTCATGTGTGCAAAATGTCATCTATGCACAAAAAATTTAGGAGTACAACGAATGTAAGCACTTACGATCTGTCAAGGAAAACTCGTCATACACCCAATGTATTGATCACAAGCAAAATGTCAAATAACTATGACGAATGCAAATATTACGAATTGTCGTAAGGGACCCGTCATGTCCTCAGAGTGCTACCCTCAAATAAATAAAGAAGACCTTCAACAAGGGCAAGCTCCTATGAGCCAAAAGCAGAAGATTCGTTAGTGCACTACAATCCACCTGCAGAAAACAAGTAGTGCACGACAGTCTACCTGTACAAAGCAGCAAACAACTCTATTCAGAAGCTGCTACGCTACGCCACCGGATCCGCAACGTCCAGAATGTTCCGCCGGAAAATCCAACGGTAATCGCATGTTTTCCCGTAGTGCATGAGTTAATATCATGTACCCTAGAATATCATACGCATTCCCTTATTCTATCTATGGAACATTCTCCATTAAATAAGACAGTAGTAAAATATTCCACTCCATAAACAACTATGACATAGGAGAAATTGCACTGTGAAATCCACTTCCTAGTATCTCATGTCAAATAAATAATGATGGAACTGGTATTACTTTAATACAAAAGAAACTCCACATTTGAAGTAGAGAAAAATTAAAAAGTAGCATAAGGAAAATGTTTTTTTAATGATAAAGATAGCAACAAGGTCCTGAACCAACTACTTGAAGCTTAGGCTTGTTCATTCAAAATTTAAATACAAAATAGTTACAGGGATGTGGTCAAGGAAGGCCAGAACACACAAGGTTTCAATCGTAATTGATTTTATAATCCAGAACTCTTCTTAACCAAAAGGCATAGACATGCAGATAATGTGATTGAAGACTTTGTCAACAGTGCTTCGACGAGAGTGCAAGGCCAGCTCAGATAAGAGTAAGTAATGCTGAATAGGTTAGGGGAATAACGCTGGGGGTTGGTGCTATAAAAGTAAAGGGTAACAATTGCATACAATGGTAAAGCATAAAGATCAGAGAGAAGAGCCAATTATCTCATCAAGTTTTTCATGAACAAAATAAGCTAGGCATGTTTAAACAAAATTAGCCAAAATAACCATGGATGAAGAGTTGGCAGGATTGCTGATGTGTGACTATCAATCAACTGTTGATGGCAGTGATTAGGCATGAATAAACAATCATTAATACAAAATTTTCTATTCCATTTACGAAGCGAAAGTGATGAGGGGATGTCTTCTTGACTGCTTATAACCAATGCTACGTTGCAAGGTAGAGGTGGGAACAGTTTTTAATCAAACTAAGCTTTGCAATGAAAAGCAAAGCAATTAAAATTATTGATACTGTCTTCCATATTCAAACCCTTAAGATTGAAGTTACCAAATCCCAGTTAAAAAGTTTCAGAAGTATCAACAATAACTGAAGTGGGGAACTAAAAAAGAACCAACACATAAGCAGGGATTACCTAGAGTAGCCATTACAGCAGCAAAAACAATGATGCCAACAGGTTGCACTCTCAACTTGCCAATTGGAAACTGGTAAATGTTCACCTTTTTCATATACATATGAGTAAACCATAGAATACCACCAGCCATAAGGTCTAATAACGAATCAAGAGTCGAAGCAGCAATGGCTATTGATCCACTTCTTATTGTAGCATAAACCTGCGGTTTCCATTAAAATTATTCCATAACTTAATCAACACACTACCACGATAACAACTTTTATAAATAACAGAATGCTAAATAGTTATAATTTTTGGTAGGATTGGAACCCCTTTCCTTTCCCCAGTTGAAGGTGAGGGAAACTAAGCCGAAGCCGAATGTTACGGATCTATTGTTCATAATAACAATTGAAACTATAATACCTTAATTAATTCAGTGCTAATAGAATAATATTAGCATAATTTGATAACTTCATAGCAAATTCTTGTCCATAATAACAATGGAACTATGATACCTTCAGTGCTAATAGAACAATATTAGCATAATTTGATATCTTCATGGCAAATTCACTGCGGGCTAACTCCGCCTTCTGTTCTTCATCAGTGAAGGAATCAGGTTCGTTCAAAGCATCGACTTCCTCGAATGATCTCAGAGTATCGAACTGCCTATTATAGTATTCTTTCTCTCCTAAACAAATCCAACAACAGATCATAAAGTGCGAAAAAGATACAAGAATAAGAAGCGCCATTTTCAAGATACTAAAACAATAGCTATACCTTTCTTCAATCCTTCAACGCGAGATGTGATGAAATGGTAAGGCTTCTCAGGATCGACACCTGCCCTTACCTTCTCAGGGAGTCTCCAGAGAAACTCCCTTCTCAGAGAGGTCACCGAGTTCCTCAACCGAACCATCCCTTCCACCACCGCTGATGGTGACGGCGGCGAGAGCGGTACGGCATCTTTAAGCAACGCAGTCCGCAGCTCGTCACCTCCTCTTTCCTCCATTCCCAAACCCTATCAACCTAAGATCCACAGGTGGAGGATAACTGAAGAAGATTTTTTCCTCTATGGACCCTTTCTGTATCAAGAAGGTTTTTTCCCAGCATAGTTGACGGTTTTCTGGTGCACCAGGTTTCTAGATTTTTTTCTTGGTCATTTATAGTTTATACGAAACGGGTGATAAATAAATTCCATTTTATATTACTGGAGAAGTAGCATGAAAAAATATTTATTATATAAAAATCGCATTAAAATATCATTTATATATATAGTTTTTTGTTTTTGGGGTACATAATCATTTATATTAATATTTAAAGTAAAATATAAATTTTTTTATATATACATTTTTATATGAATTAGGGACTATTTATTTGCTGAAAAAATATATAAACAAACTTGAATTATATAATTGTATATTATAAATACATGAAATATTTTTTTTATATTAGGCAGTGGCCAATAGCCAAATATATTGAAAATGAACTCAATAGAGAATTTCAAATACATTGAAATTTCACTCTCCATTTAATTTTATTCTAATAAAATACTAAAAATTTAAAATTCTTGTATTTAATTTTCCTTACAATTCATTTCAACCAGACAGCTCCTAAACACTTAAGATCTGTTTGGGATGATAAATTATTCTGTGCAGAGACCGGATGCAGAACGTCATCCGTTGATCAATCAAAATCCGCCACCTCCGCAATACCGAGCAAGAGGTGACGTGGCGTATTCTAGTTGGTGTACGAACGATGTTCGGCGTCTGCACAAAATAATTAATCATTTTGGACGGCTTTCTCGTTGGCTTATTTTTAAATAGTAACTATAATTTCATTTGACTACATTTTTTTGCTAATTTCTAACTAATTTTTAGAAACTTTTGTGATGAAAAAATGATACAATAATTTCACAATTAATTTTATAAAAAATTGCTGTCATCCCCAACAAACTTTTAGTCAGCAATAAAATATTTGTTATGAGCTCTTCTAAAGGTTCATTTGCCAGGTTGAAGTTAGAAATAATAATTTAAAATAAAATTATTATTTAGTTAAACGTAACGTTGATTTCAAATATAAATAAATGATATTTTTAAAAATTATCTCAAAATGGTAATTTTAATTTCCCACACTAAAGGCTTGTTTTGGATGACTTTTTATTGCTTCTTAAAACAGTTTTCTTTTTAAAAATAAAAATTTGTACTGAAAAATTACTTTAAAAAATAGTAAAAAAATCATTTCAAATGAAGCCTTAATCAATAAAATTCAGTGGCGGAGCCAAAAATTTTATTTAGGCAGGGGGCCTAAATTAAACACTACATGAAAATCACCAATTACCGGCACAATTTTCCGGCGGTTTTCCGATGGTCAAATTTCCAGCGGTTTGTTATCTCTTCTGGAATGTTAGAATACATTAAAATTGTTTCATTTGTCGTCCCATTATTAGAGCCAATAGGAGCTGTAAGATCAAAATTAAGAATACAAATAACCTGATGAGAGAGGAACGAAAGAAAAAAACTAAAGTCGTGCTCAATATTGCATGTTAAATCATAGATTTTTTAAGCCTTTTTTTTATCGAAATAAAGCTAATTTTCTTATGTAAATTAATATTCCACACTTAAATTTGCTTTAAAATGAGTGCAATACATAAAAAATTCAATTAAAATGTATATTACACATAACTCAAACTAAATACAATACTTTTAAGATCCATTTTGATAAAAAAAAATTGATCAAGAAATTATGTAACTATCTTACTTTTCTTATAAAAAAATTACTTTAATCTTTTATATCACCTGCAGCCAAGAAAAAAATATATCAATTATTTTATTATTAGAAAAATATATTCAAAAATTCTATTCCGACCAAAGTATAATATCTATATTTATATTTTGTCATCTAGTAGGGAAGACGGTCCACTTCAGTTTTCTTCATTTATCGTAAGCGACATTGATCCTTTGTCAGTTTCTTTGCTGTGACGGGAATTTTTATGGCGTTCTCCCATCTGGCGTAGAGCTACATCAGATAGCCTATGATATGTTGCCACGTGTTCTTACTCTTGACCGCGCGGCCCGACGACCCGACCCGTAACGGACCTGGGAGTTTGCGTAGCTCGGTATTACTAGGTATTGGTCGATTTTGCTCGACAAAAATGAAAAATACTATTCTATGAAGACCAATACTGAGAAATACCGAGCAATACCGAGTTCTTTTAGGTATTACTCGGTATTGCTCGATATTGCTCGTTATTGGTCTTCATAGAGCGATATTTCTTGTTATTGTCAAGCAATACCGAGTAATACGTACTAGCAATACCGAGCAAATACCGAGCAATACGCGAACATAGTAATCCTGGAGTCGGTCCGAGTCGGGACGTCGGGCCGCGCGGTAAAAAGTAAGTGCACGTGACGACATATCATAGGCTACCTGATGTAGCTCTACGTCAGGTGGGAGGACGCAATAAAAATTCCTGTGACGGACCATTGTGGAGTTGTAGTTTTTTTTTTAAGGTAAATTCTGGCCGATTTATATACACGTCACATATACAAGATTCAAATCTAAAATTTTTTAGTTAGTAACCTAAGATCTCAACCAACATACCGAAATGATGAACTACGTAGATCTCTTCCTTCAAGAGCTACTCAAGCATACAAGATTTTTTTTTTTTTTCAGTTTTCATTATAATATTGATTAGGTCATTTTTATAAAGATGTAACACAAAATTAGATAAAGTATTGAAGAGTATGTTTCCATACTTATTAAAATATCTATGCAAGCTATGTTTATATCTTAATCAAAGCATAATCTAATATGGTCCAAGATATCAAAGACCATATTAGATATTAATTGATACCATTTTTCAACATGGTTCGATGAATAATATATGATCATGCTTTAACTAAGTAGATGTTTTAAATTGGGCTTCTTTTGAGATGGTTTTTTACTGCTTCTTAAAGCAGTTTTTTAGTATAAAAATTATAACCTTTATACTAGAAAGTTGTTTTAAGAAGTAGTAAGAAAGTTGTTCCAAACGAAACCTCTAAATAAGCTACAAATATGTTTTCATGCAGTTTGAGTATATTCAACCTTGTTCATCAGTGTTCAAACCTACGTGAATATGATTCCATTAATTTTTATATCTGCTTAAACAACAATGAAATTACACGCATAAGAAGTAATTTTTAAAGGCAAATTGAGCACAATTTCTCCAACAGAAAAACAAAGCAAGGGATTGAAGATACTTAGAAATATTTTCCTTAACAATTTTGTTGATCTTATATGTAAAATGAAGGATATTAATATGAGAGTTTAATTTGAAATTGGGGATGATATATAGGTTTAGCGAAGCACCAACATTCACTTTAATTGGGCTACTTACGGTTGATTATCTTGATTTTTTTTTCTTAGAAGATTTTTCTTTAGACATTATTCATCGAACTCCTATATGTGTCACAATTATCTCTTTGCGCAAATGAGGTTAATGTACTAGCAAGTTCGTCATCTTACATTATACCTGAAAAATGGATGATAAATGGACAGCCCTTCGTACGAGTGAAAGTTGACGAACTTGTTAATATATTGATAAAAGAAAGGGCATGATCTCCTATCTATCTTAGAGAGTCGTATTTGATGTATTGATTTGTATATATAAATTTTGTTTGTGCGGGCCACATTGTAATTGATCATGAGAATAAGGGTGATGACTTTGTATATTGAAATATATTGCAATCATGCATATCATTTCTTATAGTGTGTGCATTAGGTTCTTTGGTAGGTTTCTTATAACATATTGAGCTACAAGCTTACCCTATTATATTTGCATATATTTTGATTTATAGGAAATAGTAAGGAGCATGAAGAGTAAAGTGTGCTCTAGAGTTAAGTTATGCTTATATATATTAATGGTATTGATGTAAATATTCTCTTGTGAAACTATAATGTTAAATATACTTTCATTTATGAAGCAAAATGTTTGTGATTATGAGCCTTAAGTGATTGGAGGGGCAAAATTAACTTATGCAAAGATAGATTTAATAATTTATTTATGTTATCATGATATAGCATGAATATTAATGACTCCATATATGTTATGGATTATTGCGGTAATATTGATTAAAATTTTTCCCAATATAAATCCTGGATTATGGGGAATTTATTATGAATAATTATGAAATTTTTGTAAATAAAAGTTAGGATCAAATTCTCCTGATGTGTCATATATCTACTTGATAAGATTCATTATTACACATGAATGGTAGGTTGGGGCATGACATGAAAGATTGACATACGAACAATAAGTGAGGAGAATTTAATTCAAGGATTTAAATTAATGCCAGAACTATAGCTCGATTAATGGAGGTTGACTGGTCTTAAGTTAACTTTGCAATACATATTACAATAAAATTGATAAATCGCAAAAAATTATCTTGATTGGGCACAGATCTTGATGCACTTCGAAATTGGAAACTTCCAAAATTAAAATTGTGACCATCCAAATTTTGATTTCTTCAGACTTATAATCAAATTGAACGTTTTGATGAGAAGAACTCAACGACACCAAAATTTGTTCAATCTGAGCCCAAATGGGCCCAAATCAAGGGACCTAAGCATATTTGAAAGCTTGAAAGTATTAATTGGATAACCATATAATCTCCAAATCTGATATGCTTATAGTCGAATCAAGCGGCTCGATGAGACAAATCCAACATGCTCAAGATCACTTAATTCTGACATCATTAAGGTACTTAATGTTTCAAGAACACTCTATGATCGAATAAAGCAATAAGGACCGTCTGATGGAGCACTCATAATTTGCTCTAGATTTTGTTCATATTTATGAAGCATGACACTCCTAAAAATCTATATATATGCTCTCATTCTTCACATTAGTGAAGAAGTTAGAGGAAGAGCTTTCTTGCAATTTTCAGTCATCGTTGCCGCCACTGATGACAAATAATTATTATCGCCGACAACCACGATCTCCAAAATGTTAATAAGATTTTACCTTCATGTTGGGTATAATTATCCACCTCTAGATATCTACTTTCTATAATCTCTACTAGGAAAATCAAGCATTAATTGTTCCTCTACGAACACTTGATTTTTGTACTCTCCATCTTCTTCTACAATGAAGAAAGGAGGATCTCTGTATCACTTACAACATAGTAGATTTTGCAACTGGGTCAAGTCCAATGATTTTTTCTTTTTTTGGATTTTCCACTTAATTTTTTTTCCTGGTCTTACTACTCTTATCTGTGTGTGCTAAATTTTGTACAACACTAAAACATAAAAAACACTGTATCGACTCAAATTCTCTAGCGTATATATATATATGATCGAACATAGCATGTCATATTGCAAACAATAATAAGATATGATTAATTGGGAGAGCTCCATACAAACTATAATGCAAGATGAAAATTAAAGTGTAGTAGTTAAACAAAGATAAAGAGTGTTAGAGCACAATATTGTTGAAGTGTTTTTACTTCTGATTCGTTGACATAGTTTGCAACTCTAGTAACCCAACTGATGAGTGGTCGAACTTTAATGCATATTAGTCATAAAGAAGAAGCAGGTAAATATCTTTAAGTTAATTAAGGCTTCATTTGGGACGGCTTTTTTATTACTTTTTAAAGCATATTTTTATTATAAAAATTTCTTAAATTAAAAATTTTTGTGCTAAAAGATCATTTTAGAAAGCATAAGAAAGCTATCCCAAATGAAGCCTAGGAGTATAACACCACCACTATTTAAGGAAGAATTTAAACCTTAGATAGTAGAAGATTGATACTCAAAATTGAGAAAAAATTTTAATACACTTAAAGAAACATTGTTATAGTTTCTTAACAGGCTTAAAGGAATATAATATGAGGCAACCATTAATATCTTCAAAGATCATCAAATTTGTTGTTTTGGCAGAAAAAGGAACATTAAATAAAATGAATGGAGCATCAAAGAAGGAAAGTAGAGAGTCATTTAGAGGCAAATATACTAATACATCTTAGTATAAACAATAACAACAAACTCCTAGAGATTCAACACAAAAATAGATTTCGTTAAATGTTTCTTTCTTCTTCTGTTGTTGACACGTTTGGTCTTTCTTCTCTGGTCGTTCCGTCTGGATGGCAGTCCATCGGGTGGACGATCTGGGCTTTTTGGTTAGTTCGTTTAAATCTAAGTCTTTTGTTGAGGCACTCGCTGGTTCTTCTTCCTCGGAGAGTTTTCCTGATCTCCGGCAAGGATCATTTCGAGGTTTACCGTCCTTGTGGATTTCTGAAGCTAAAATTTGTGCGCTTTCTTTGCCTTTTCAATTTGCATTAGTTGGTTTTTTTCCCACAAAATGCCCTTCTCTGGATGCCATTCGGAATTTTTTTTTTCCTTCAAACTCAAAGCGGAGTTTTCGGTCACGTTTCTGGATCAATCGCATGTCTTAATTAAATTGTCAAATGAGCTTGATTACAACCGTGTTTTTTGTCATCGTTCGTATATGGTGAATAATTGTTTTATGAAAATCATGAAGTGGTCGCCTCTTCTGGACATTGGCTGTGAATCGCCGGTCATTCCAATTTGGGTTTCTTTTCCTAAATTGAGACCTCATCTCTTTACTCCCCGAATCATGCATGCTCTAGGTTCATTGTTTGGTAACCCTTTGAAGGTAGTCTCGGCTACTTCGGTTGGTTCTCGACCCTCTCTCACGCGAGTTTTAGTCGAATTGGATATGACTAAGGTCTATCCGAAACAGATATGGCTGGGTCCTGAGGCATCTGGGTATATCCAAAATGTTCAATTTGAATATTTTCCTGATTTTTGTGAGTCTTGCAAGTGTTTGGGGCATCTTAAAAGTCATTTGAGCCCCCTCTGCGATGCATTGTTTGAACTCGAATCTTCCCCCCGCTGAGATTGTTAAGCCTCCTGTTGTTGGCGTTGTTGAGATCCAAGATACTGAGAATAGAAAAATGCTTGAGAATGAGTTGATTTGTAATCGTGTTAGTGTGGTGCCTTCTCTGAATTTGGCCGTTTCGTCCCCTGGTGTGGAGGCCCCGGCGGTTAATGTGGAGGGTGGTACTGTGGTTGATCCTGTTTTGATGAATATAGCTCAGGAGGAGTTATCGGGGTCGATTTCGGTTCATGTAAATTCCGGTTTAATTAGAGAGGATTTTGGAGTGAATGTGTTATCTCCAAATGCGTTGCCATTCTTTCCCCCTGGTGCCGAGCCTGTGAGTAATTGTTTGTTACATATGGAAGGTCAGGTGGCTGTTGATGGGGGTGTTCAAGTTTTAAATGATGCAGATGGTGGTTCTGATGGTTTTGTGGCTGTTGAGGTGGTGCCGGTGGAAAGTGAGAAGGAGGTTTCCGTCTTTGGGTCGAGAAGAAATTATTTCGATTAACAACAGTTTAGTTGTGATCCCTGTTAGTGAGGTTGATACACAAGTAATGGCTAAATGTGTGGGTAATTCCTCTGGTTTGGATATTAGGAATCAGAATAATTGGTTGGTGGATTCGTCGGATGTTGATTCGGATTCGGAGACGTTTGAGTCCGACCATGATTTTGATCTTGTGCGTACTTCAAAGATTGCCACTCGCGAAAAATATTGGGGGAGAGGTCGACGCAAAAGATGAATTTTCTTTTTGTTATTTTGTTTCTCCTCGAGATTTGTCGGCTATTTTGTTCGATTTGTGGCTTCGTGAGGCTAAGAGCAATGATGTGGTCGGGGCTCGCGTCACTGTTGTTTTTTTAATATAATTTCTTTAAAAAAACACAAAATTTGATTTTTATTGATAGAAAATCAAATATGAACAAAGCAATATGCAATGGTCCTCTTTCGAGAGGAAGACCTTCACTCCCAAACCCTAAACCCCGTTAGGATCTCTCATAAAAAGAAAACTAAAACACTCTCAAAACAAATTATGCATACAAACATAACATAAATCTTACTACTTATAGATAATAATAAAAAATAAATTTCGAAACAACCCTCCCCCAATTTCCTTTCAAATCAGTCATCTCTAATTAGAAAATATCTCCAAATTAATCTCCTCTAATTCAACTCCAAATCTACATTTTTAATTATGAAATATATCATAATTAATCCCTTTCTTAATTCCTCTTCTCACATATATAATGATAGGTTTAATAGGGCCCACAAGGAGGGCTGAATTGCCCTCCCTTATCATATACACGCATGAATCACATGATAAGCTAGGTATCAAACTTCTTGTGCGAAAACATGTCAATAAGTTTTGCTGATTTTATGAAGTTTATTGGTGTCTTATAGGCTTCATTTGAAACAACTTTTTTATTGCTTCTAAAACAATTTTTTTAGTACAAAAATTTTTAATTAAGAAAGCTGTCCGAAATAAAAACATAATTTAATACATAAAATCTTGATTGACATGAAAGCATAATAGAAACAGCATGAAACTTTGCAGCCAACCATATAAAGCCCAAAAAATTAATGAAATCCTTTATGCATAGCATTATTCTCACAAATACACTATTGGCATTCATAAATAAACATAAAGTCCCATCCATTTTATACTATTTTTTTCAGTCATCCATTACTTCTGCTTTCTTTTTCCGGCATGAAAATAAATGCGAATACTAGATATTATGTGATAGCTTGAGATTACAATTAATTATAAAAAAATTATTCTCTTTTTCTCTTCTCTGCCAGCAGCTCAAATAAGCTCCCATCAAACAATCCCCTAATGGCTTCTCTCTGTAGCACGCCTCTTTCATCTTTTGCAAGCGAGTAAAGCAACCGCCACTCCGCTGATGCTATGACCCTGCATTTTTTTTTTCAAAAAAAATCCATTGTTAAAAAATAATATTTAATATTTAATACATTATGAATATAGGACATATCCATATAAATCATATATATATATATATATTCCATATAAATATATATATATTTGAAATTAACATTATAATATAAAAATTAATATATAAAAAATTAAACAAATTAAGTAAACATGAGATGAAATATATTTAATGGGCCTTGCCAAATAGAATTTTGATATGCATAACCTTAGGGATAAAATAGGAAAAGAAAAACTTAAAAATTTAAGCTTAAATGACCTGGGGTTTTCATCTTGAGCTCTTCCTATATCCATCCCTACATGTACGTCATAAATGAGGTATTTCAAAATGAATTTTCGGGTCGGGTTTAGGTCCAGTCCAAAATTGACCCGCCTTCAATTAATCCAACTTGAAATTTAACTTATTAGGCAAACTAGACAGGGATTCAAACCCAGACTCGACCCGCTAGGTCACCAGGTTGGCCCAAACAATCGAGGTTTTGGATTGACCTACTCGACCTACTAACCCGGGTTGTGAGCAAAGCAGCAGGCGAGCGAGACTGAGGGCAAGGGGGTGAGTGCAGGTACAAGGTGATCAGTGATGCGAGTGGGCGAGGGCGAGCCGTGTGCGCGAGTGTCGTGTTAGAGCGCAAGTGCGGAGTGCAAGCACGATCTATGGGAGACTCGAGCGTGGCTGCCTGTGTGAGTGTCGGTGTTGTGCGGATGTGCAGGCAACTCAACGGAGCATCGGAACCTGTGCGAGAGCAAGAACATGGGTGGGCAGCCATAACTCAAGTCAAATTCAGGTTAGCGGGTTGATCCGGTCTTGATCCGATTTTTCAAACGGTTCATAAATTGGAACTCGAAACCAACCAATTTGTTAAATGGGTCAACATGAATCCGAATTCTTTATATCAGATTATCAGATCAAGTCAATAATTGATACCCATATTAGATAAGCGTCTTATTTTGCAAATGTTAAACACTGCATATTTTAATATTGCAATATATCAATGCATCATAAATTTAAAAATATCACCAAATAAAAGCACTAATATACACTAATAAGATAACATTATCAATAAAAATTTTCAACCAACCAAACTAAAACGCCTGTAAAAAACAAGCAAAATTAAAAGCCTAAAGCATTATTAGATCCCTACCTTCCAATGAAATCTGTGAGGTTGCGATTAGCTCCAAGCATTGTGTGGAGTTCATCTCCTGTTAGTGCATCTGAATATGTCTTTGCATATTTACTGAAAATTGCATCAAATTTTGCTGGATCAAACCTGCATTAAGAGCACATGAAGGTTGATTTTATTTTTCACAAAATGTAGAGAAAATAATAATAATAAAGTGTAGGGACTAAAAAGAAATTTTACCTTCCTTCTGTATCATATGTTTCAGAGTCACTTCCATGCTTGCATTTATGTATGTTTTTTATGTAGATTGGAAGGAGAGGAGAAGGTATCCACCCCTACATAAAAGAAATAAATGATATCAAAGGATTCAATTGATTTTAAGTACACTAATTAAAATCCTCATGATATAAATGTATAGAAGAAAATTATATTAGAATATTTTGATATAATATGAAGATAAAATAATATAATAGAGTAGATTAATGCTTAAAATTAAAAATATAAATAAAAACAAAAGATAATGCAAAGGATAAATTCAGGGGCATAAATGAGTTAAGCCGACTTGTGGGTCGGCTTGAGCTCGGATCTATCAACGACTCATGAGCCGAGCTCGATGAGCTGATGCGTCAAATTTGAGCCAACCTCGGCATGACTTGTTAGCTTGCATGCCGGCTCGTTTAAAAACTATTAATATAAAATTCATTTAAAATATTTTAGAATTCAAAAGTCCAAATATAAAAATATTAAAATACTCAAAAATTATATCTCATTTTGATATATCAAATGATTATTTATTATTTACTCCTAATTCCTTAGCCTTTTTATTAATTTTTTATAATAATTACTTAAATCATAGTAATTTTCTCCTACTGAAAACATGTTTGCAATCAAAGAGATTAAATATTAAGTTAATTAAACTTTGGAAGAAGATCTTACTGGCTGTGTGCTGTAACCAAGCAAGAAATTAATCAAGAATCCAGCAGTGAGTGATAAGAATACTCCACACCCTATAGCTCGAAAGCCTACAAAAAACAAAGAGGAATACAGAAATTAAAATTAACTTAACCATTCTCTATAAGTGATAAGAATACTCCACACCCTATAGCTCGAAAGCCTACAAAAACAAAGAGGAATACAGAAATTAAAATTAACTTAACCTTTCTCTATAATTCAATAAGCTCATATGATTCCATAATTAAGACAAAACCCATTAGCAGGTTGAAAATAGCTACATGAAGAAACAAAAAAAGGGTCAGAATACATAAATGTTCCAATTGATTTGTAGTGATTCAAGCACAGAGTTTTAAGTAACTCAGTTTTATTTGCTTTTTGAGCTGATAACAAATTATTCCTTAATACCAAGCTCCTCTCTCTCTCTCTCTCTCTCTCTCTCTAGTGGTGCTTATTGCTTTTATATATATATATATATATATAATAGTGATTAAGCAATTATAGAATCAACATAATAAAAAAGGTTAAACTCGAGCTAGATCTAAACTCACTCTTCATTTAGGAAAGCTTTCTTACTGCTTTCTAAAACAACTTTTTAGTACAAAAAAATTTTGAACATGAATTTTTTTACAAAAAAATTGTTTTAGAAAGTAATAGGAAAGTTGTCCCAAACAAAGCCTCAGGTTTTGTTTGGGACGGCTTTCTTCTTGCTTTTTAAAACAACATCTAGTACAAATATTTCTTGAATTTGAATTCGTTTTAAAAAACAGTACAAAAGCTGTCCCAAACGAAGCCTCAATTAGGGAGTAAAACTTAATTTTGGAAAGCAATTATTTAAGTATATCCTGATGCAAATTGTGTCAGAATGGACTTCATGTTCATTAAGGTTTCATTTGGGACGGTTTTTTTATTGTTTATTAAACCAACTTTTTAGTACAAAATTTTAAATTTTTATACTAGAAATACATTTTAAGAAACAGTAAGAAAGCCGTCCCAAACGAAGCATGAATTTGTGCCAAAATTAATGCAGCTCTTTGATATCATTTGTGGCACTAATCTCATTACAAATCCAACAAATATGAAGCTTATTGTAATATAATTCATGTTTGTATATCCTTAAGTAAGTCTTCTTCTATAATTCTTTTTAATGTCAGGTCAAATAATAGGATTAATGTCCTAAAACTATTTTCTATTGAAACAAGTAATTGAACTGAGTGTTTTTGGTATCCATGATTTCCTCCAAATTCTATAATGTTAAGAACTATGGAACATTCAAATAATTATATGAAAATTTTGAGAAAATAAACAAATAAATTTTCCATTAGCCAGAGCTTTAATTTTTATGATAAAAAAATTACCTTGGTATGTCTCCCAAGGATAGATAATCCCATCTTTATTTCTATCAAAAAAAGCTACATGCTGCTGAAGCACACTCAAATTATGGTGATCCCTTCCCTCAGTTCCATTTGGATGGCTCTGATCTACTGCCACTAATGCTCGAGCGAGATCTGCACAAACCATTCAACATAAGTATTGTGATCAGCTTGTGACAAAAATCAAAATTTGCAAATTTATTTTTAGTACAATTGGGGGGATAATTATCAGTTCATGGCTTGTTCATAGTTGTTGGATAGAATCTTATGAGCCTTGATTGTTGTCTATAAATACTTAATCATAAGTAGAATTAGGGCAAGCAAAACATGAACGAAGAAATTGAGCTTTGACTTTTCTCTCTTCTACTCTTGATATCTAATTATCCGTTTCTTCGGAGGTTTTGTTTGGAACAATTTTGGTATTGGTTTTTACAATATCTTTTTAGTATGAAAATTTTTTAAATGTAACAAAAAAAAAATAATTATCAAATGTTATTCCTAATGATTAGGACAACTTTTTTATTGCTTTCTACAGTAATTTTTTTTTAAAAAAAAATTTATACTTAAAAATTACTTTAGAACTTAAAAAAATTGTCCCAAACAAAACTTAATTCTCCAACTTATTGTTAAGTTTTAAGGTAAGTTCAAAGTTGTCAAATTATGATGTTACCAATTTTTTCTCTAAAGTTCATTGATAGGTAGAGCTGCTAAAATCGGGTCACGTATCGGGTTCGAGTCCAACCCGAAATTGACCCGACAGTACTGTTCAACCCGACCCGAACTGACCCGTTTTTGGAAATGGGTCGGTTTTTCGAACCCAAGCCCGACCCGCTTCGAGTATATTTTATTAATTTTTTATTCAATTCAATTTATTTAAATATAAATCAAATTATGTTAAGATTTACTTCAATTAATTTAAAATAAATTAAGATTAATTTAATTTGGGCAACAATGTTTATAATTTTTTGAAATATTATTTACTTATTTCATAAAAATCCTTTAAAACCCTCTTAAATTAATAAAAAGATGGTCAAATCGGGTTGATTTCGGGTTTTACAAACGGGTCGAAATGTCTAACTCGAACTCGACGCGATTCTGGTTTGGGTTGACCCGAACCCGAAATTTTCTGGTTGGATTTTCGGGTCGGGTCAAATATTGACACCCCTATTGATAGGTTTAGGGGTGCATGTAAAGTGAGCTGAGCGGGCTCTAGCTCGATTCATTTTTGTCTCACAAGCCAAGCTTATCGAGCTCACGAGAGACTGGTGCGGTATGCCGTGGGAAGAACGGCGAGTGTTCACGTAGCAATTGCACATGCTTCCACCTGTGCAAACGAGATAGGGCAAGCCAGGGGATGAATGTCGGGATTCGCCTCATGCTCTCCACTTGTGTTCCTCCATTCCGCCTATCCAATGCTTCAATTCATTCTCTTCGCCTCGTTTGTGCGAACAATGGGCGGAAAACCTAGGCAAGCGGGCGGGAAAATGAAAACCGGGCATGAAATTTACCTAGGCAAGCGGCGCGAAACCGAGCAGCTTGACAAGCTAGTTACAGTTTTGTAAGTCGAGCTTGAGCTCGAGCTCGGCATTTGACTCGCAAGTCGTGCTCAAATATCCCTTGACTCAAGCTCGACAATATTCGTTTACACCCCTAAATAGGGTCACCTTTGATCCATTGACCCCGTGCATGATTCATGTCCCAACACAACACGTATAAATACAAAACTCTATGAAAAAATAAGTAATTTCTGGCAAAAAAAATCCGTTGATAAATAAGTAAAATTTGTCTGAAAAAAATTTTCTGGCTAATTTCTATCAGCTAGAAAAAGCCTTACAGAAAATGTTTATGAGCATATCAACAATAACCCAAAAAAGCAGGAAAATTTTTCTAACAAATTTCTGGCGGACCATCGATTTCTACCGTATATCCTAGCTCAAGCAACTTCGAGTTTTTTTTTTTTTTTCTCATCACAACTGAAATTTAGCTTCAATCGGAAAAGATATAAATAAATATAAATTAATAAGCTATATTTTTCTAGATCTAATATTGTATTATCATATAAAAAAAAACAGAAGGCGCACGCTTACATGGCTTGGGAATTTGTTCTTGAAGATCAAGATTAAGATTCCGCTCGCCGGTGATCGGAGCTCCCGGCGCATACGTCGCCAAGGAAAAATCGCTGGCCATTGACAAAGATTTAAACCTCGATCGAATCTGCAACTTCTGATCAATTGCTTCAATATCAATCAAATTCTATACCATGGTGGCAGTAGAAAATACAAAGGAAGACACGCTAATGGGAAGGGATGGAAGGAGAAGGCTCAATAATGGAAAAACACGTACAGTGGTAGTAGAATAAAGATCGAAGTTCGAGCTTATAAATACTAGTGACCATAGATCTCTAACTTTAGCGTTTTTCAAATTTATTTACGTCAGTTTAGAATTTCTTGCTAAACTTATTACGTGACAACAACCAAATTTAAAGCTATAAGTAATTGATTGGAAGTAATTATTGTATTTAGTAAAGAAGTGAATGAAGGAAAGCTATTATTAGGTAAAGGGTATGCTTCATTGCGGAGTTTTATAAATAATTTTTTTGATATATAATATATATATATTATATCCCAAATAGACCTAAATTAAGCATGCTTATGTTCAACTAAAACAAAACAAAAATGTAATTAAGCTCTACGAACATAGTGATTGTGGTTCATAATAAAATTTCTACCATACAAGTAAGGGGGATGGGGGGGTTAAAAGAGGTTAATCAATCAGGTTCGAGTCTGACCCGAATCTGAGTAGCTCAAACCTGACATGTTTAAGAAAGGAATCAAAAATATGAATCTGAATCTGACCATCTATCAACCCGAATGACCCAAGCCCTACTTGATAATATATTTTGGCTAAAAATTATAACTTATCAACAACTGTTAATTGATTAAAAATAAGAATTTTATATTAACAATAATAATAATTTAATAAAACTTATTAAATAGATGGATTAATTTATGATCGAAGGCGTCAAGGCGGGTTCATGGATCAACTCAAACATAACCCATATAATAATAAACGTGTTGAAATTCCATACTCAAATCCGATCCGTTATTAAATGGGTCAATCCAAACTCAAAAATTTTATATGATCAGATTGATGTATTAGATTATTTAGTGACACCCCTAATACAAATAAATATTTATTTGGCTAAGTAATTGGCTGATTCTTCCTTATGTTTGTATTAATTTCTATTTTTTAAATATCATATATTTTCACAAATGATTAAAAAATAGCTACACGTACACGCAACTCTTAAAAAAAAAAGTCTTAGATCCTTCCTTTAATTAATTTAACGTAAACAAGTAGCGCACCATTTAACCTTATCTCGTCAATTGCACCGCCAACCACCTTGTCTGATCTTATCATCTTATGATTAATTAGGCCAGCAATTGGTTTTAAGAGATATCTAAATTGCCTTAAACTCTTTATGATCATTTATATATTTATCAAAATAAATTTCAGAAAAATAGCTTTTACTACATTTTTTTGAAGTATATAATTTTGTAATTAGAAACTGTTTTAGAAAACAATAAGAAAAATGTCTCACAGTTTTCTTACTATTTTACTTTTTAGAGCTCACGCATTATTTCTATTTGTACGTTGATTTTTTAATGCATTCAAGATATGTTTTAACTAGGAAGGTGCGTTCTTTCTACAATAGCTTTTAAAAAATTATTTTCTCCGCATATGCTTTACAAACATCTTTATAAGAAGCTGCAGCCGTCCCAAACAAATCCTAATATTTCATTTGGGATAGTTTTCGCAATGTTTTATGTAACAGCTTTTTAGCACAAAGATTTTTTGAAATAAATGAAAAAGTAGTTGTCAAAAACTGTCCCAAATCAATTAATCAAGCCTAAGGGTCTAATCATGCAGTTTTCTAACTGATTTATTTTTCAAAGTATAACTATGATTCTATTTGGTTATTTTTTTCTTGTTATTTTTTTGCCATTGTATAGCTCTTTTTTATATCAGAACTTACTAATATGTAATAGCATTAAAAAATAAACTATTAAATTAAAATAAATAAATATATATTTATAATATCTAGAATAACTTTTAAAAAACTTTTTCCACGATAGCTTCTCTATCACTTTTATAAAATACCATAATCTTCCTAATTAATAGACTCTAAGAAGAAGATAAATATAAATAATAATTTATGATATTCCTCTATAAGACCAACGTAATTTTAATTATTTCTTTTACTTAATTTTATAATTTATTTCGGGCAACTCAACTGCTTCCCGATTATGCCACCGACTGATCAGAGAAAATGGTGTTCCGAAATTTCAGCGCGGCTGCGTATGACAAATGACAGTTGGATCTATATTGGACTTTAGTTTGAAGAATCGAAGGTCTTATTATTTACCACAAAACAGGCATTACATTCAGTTTTTCATTGAATATGATTCACAAAATTATAAATAATAAGGAACGTGTTATCAGATTTGACCAAAACATAATTTGAGGGTGGCACATCCCATATATATATATATATATATATTAGGGCTGCAAACTAACCGAGCCGAGCCGAGTATGTGAGTATTTATGTTTGTGTTCATTTAATACCAGCTTGTTCAAGTTTGGTTCATGTTTGTTCGAGCTTTA